TCTCTCTCTCTCTCTCTCTCTCTCTCTCTCTCTCTCTCTCTCTCTCTCTCTCTCTCGCTTACATGTAAAGCTTGGCATGCAGGTGCATGAATCAAATGTGTGGGTGATTGTCAACTTATGTTAATGGTGAAGTTGACAGGATCTATAATCATCCTGGAGCAAGCTTCCAGCCATACTTGTGAGGGATTATCTAGGTTAGGGTACATGTTTGTAAGGTGTTTCTAGTCAGGGTTTTTATCACTGTGATACAACACTATGACCAAGAGCATTTTGTAGAGGAAATGGTTTATTTCAGCTTACACTTCCAAGTATCTCTCCATCATCCAGGAAGTCAGGATAAGAACTCACAGCAGGAACCCAGTGGCAGAGACTGTGGAGGAGTGCTTCTTACTGGCTTGCCCCTCATAGCTTGCTTAGCCCACTGTTTATATATGGCAGGACCAGGACCAAAATCCTACAAATGGCACCACCCACTGTGAGGTGGGATTTCCCACATCAATCATCAATTAAGAAAACGCCCCCACAGGCTTCTCTAGAAGCCAGTCTTGTAGGGAAATATTCTCAATTAAGGCTCCCCTTTCCCAAATGACTTTAGCTTATGCCAAATTGACATAAAACCAGCCAGAACAGAGGGATTATTTTGATTAGGTTAATCCATCTGGAAACCCACCTGCTGTGGATGACACCATTCCTGGGATGAGATCCTGGGTGGAATTAAAAAGAAGAAAGTGCACCTAGCACAAGCCCTTGTTGCTCTCTGTTTTGTGTGACTAGCTTGCTCAAGCTTCATTCCTGCCATGGTGGATTGTAACCTTGAACATTGAGCAGATAGAAACCCTTCTTTCCTTAAGTGGCTTTATCAAGATATTTTATCAGGAAAAGAAACTAAACTAGAAAGGATTGCTGGACCCTAACTAAGAAACCTTAAAACACAATTTAAGACTCTGGTGGGACGCGGATAAAACGGTGAGATATAAAGAAAGAATGGAACGATCAGGAGCAGACCTTATTCTTTTTCCAGTCATTATCATGAGCCTTAAGCTAGGTCTTTTCCTTTGATCCAAACTTCTGCTCAGTATATTATAGATAATAATTGTCATTCAGTCACTTCAAAAGACACATTGACATCCGTTGGCTCAAAATGCAAGATACCAAGTAGGTATTTTTGAGTTGCTGAAAACTGAAAATCTTTGAGTATCTATCAGTTTCCTGTGTCAACTTGTTTAATTGATTGAAGAAACAAAGAGAATATAGTAACTTAGCTTTACCTCAAAACACAGAAGTGTCTTTAATGAACTTGAAAAGAACACTGACAAAAAGAAAATTATAAAGTCATTGTTCAGTCTCATCATTCTTTCCAAACACTTTAATGTCTTGGTTGACTGTCCTAAAATCTATACTATTACCTAATTCACCATTGACGTGCAAGGCTCTTTGCTGGTGTATGATCTCAATGAGATCACAGCTGCATGATGTGGAAATGAGTGTTAGTTTTTAGGGAAATGAAACTCATTGATGTCACTTAGTTTATGAACTTGGAAGCCCTTCCTTTCAATATACCTTGCCTGTAAAAAACATTCCTTAAGAGAAAAACTCATGGAAATATTTCTCTTGAGCAATTGCTGCTTTAGGAACCTCAAACTTTTGCCAGAATGTGCAGACAGGTTGCTCTAGACATCGTAAAAGAAGTCAAATTGAGGATTGAGCTGTACTGGAAGACAAGATTATGTGTTAGAAATCTCTAGCCTTGAAGATTTACCTCAAAGGAGGTGGTGAGAAGAAAGGACCTTCTGGGTGGAGAGCAATGTTCTATTCAAT